AAAAAGATGCCTCTCTCCCTTCATCCTTCCACCACTTAAGCAACAAGCCGGGGGAGGGGAGGGATCATCAGGCTCCATCATGCTTCTAATTACATCATCAGTTTGGCTCAGAATTAAACCTGGAATGAACTAAGCTATTTTCAAGTTTGGAGGATAATACAGTAGTTCAATATGCCAAGCCCAATTCTGAACCTGATTGTAGGAGCGCACCCCATCACTTGCAAAGCAAACGTATTATTATTGCACATGGTCACTTTCCAGAGTAACGTAAGAAGAATTCTGCTTCAAGGAGCTTATAGGCTAACATTTGGGAGTAGGAGAGGCAGTATGGGGGAAGGATGCTAAGAGTTATTTTCTCGTATTACCTGAACTGTTATTCAAACCTTTTGGCATTTCAGCATTGTAACATGGAACATTTCTGTCACGTTCTGTTCTTATGCAGCAACAGATGCTTTGCAAGAAGTAGAAAATAGTTTTTTCTGAATACATAATGCGACACTTTGTGTATGTCTGCACTGGCAGACTTCCCAATCTCTCATGTCCTTGCTTAGCACAAGCTATTGCTTTTGAACAGGAGTGATGTAATATAGTGAACCCTACATGAGCATCTTTTTCATCCTGGCACATAAACTCTGCTCTGTCCCAACACAACAGGAGTTTCCGTCTGCACCAGGGCATGGTATAATCAGCAGGGGCTGGATGAGAAGCTGACTTTCTTAGTTGTTTGCAAATATATACATCCTTTAGGTGCATTAGGAACACAGGTGTAGTATCTGCAAGATTATAAATGATCCACAGAGATTAAGGAGCAAAGGAGGATTAAGGAGCAAATTAAGGATTAAGGAGCAAATTTTACTTAGCAGTCTGCTGCTACAAAACTACAAAACTGAAACTAGTCAGACTCCTCTGCTGGTCTCCCCCAGAACTGATTTCTCCCATACAGCCATTTCTGAATTACTTTAGTTCTTACCCACATTATAATAGGAGCATGGGAATCTGACATATTGAGTCAGACTATCTATCTAAGTGTTGTACATAATGACTCGCAGCAGCTTTCCAGGGTTTCAGACAGGAGTCTCTCCCATTCCTTGCTTTCAGCAAGGACCCAGAAGTGGCTGTAGCTCCATACTGAGTGGAAAGAAAATCTATGTTTATGTTTGTCCTGTGTCCTTTTCCTTTAATTAACTGACAGTGATACTATTCAGGTATATTTACTCAGAAATAATGATAGGATTGAATCCTAAACAGGGATGGTTGGGGCACCAAATCCAATTAGTATTGGGTCCAGGCTGCTTCAGAGTCAGGGCCCAACCATAACTGGATCTATTTCTGCTGTGCCTGCCATTGAACCTGATGTGAGTGTTCCTTCTACCCAGCATATCCAGACAAGAAGGATCTATTTTCAGCCCTGGAAGCCTGCCATGGTCATGTGAAGCAGCATGGAGGACCATGGGCAATGTAGTTCTCTGGGCTTCAATGAAAGTTGGGGAAAGAAGACAGTACTGTAGTGGACTCTCAACAGATGTTTGATCAGTTCTGAACCTGGTTTGAAGATCACATTATTTGCAACAGTCACCAAACTCAGCCCTTTTTCATTGTTTCTAGACCAGAGTTAAGGCAGGGATTGGAGGAAGTTGCCTGCTCATCTCAATTCAGAAGTAAATCCCAGAGAATCCAATGGGACTTACTTCCTACGAAGTGAATTTAGGAGTGAAGCTTTACTGAAGTCTCTTCTATCTAATATAATGTTAGGGGCTGACATTGCTGAGTTCATGCTCCTGTCGTCAATAGTGATAACCACAGGGGTGTTTATTTGTGAAGTATGACAGATCAGCTAGGGCTTTCTGGGAAAGGGGAGGAAGGAATAATACAACAAAGTGTATTGGAAGGAATCTTGCATTACCTTTTGCCCCTTCAAACTCCCTTGTGCCGCTGCACTCAGCAGCCTAGCCCTTCTGTTCTTGGTTCTCACTGTTCCCAGGCTAGAGACCAAATTAAGATTGTTTTGAGAAAGAAACAGGAAAGAAGGTTTTACCATTTTGGAATTTACAAAGAAAACATACCCTGATTATTATCCCTGCTGGCTTGTTTTCTGGCAGGCAAGCCTGCTGCTTAAATGAAGGTGCATAATGTCTTCATCAGAGACACTACAAATCTCTCAATTCAAATATGACATTTTGGAAGCACCCATTAATCCAAGCTATACACCGAGCAACTTTAAACAACCATGATAAATGCCAGAAATTATTTATGACTGACAATTGTCTGTACACAACTATATTATCAATGCTGTTTCCTTCTGTTAATTAGCTGTCATGCATGCACAGTAACAACTTGCCTTTTAATAGCACATTAAATGTCTACTGTAAAGGCTCAGGAGCACCTTGAGTTGAGACAGTGTGCTGTTATTTGTGAACATTATCAGAACCTTGGAGGTGGGGGAGAGGAAGAACTGTGGGGCAATCTCAGCTGCTTCTTTCAGCATTTCAGAGCCTTAAGGAGCATGAGAGAGTACACACAGCAACCGTAAGACTGTGCTCCTTTAACTTTCCTGGAAAAAGGCATCATGTAGTCTCCAGCTGCATGGTTTAAATAGGACAAGCAGTGAAAATGGGTAGCAGGAAAGTTGAGAAAGTACTGTAGCAGCAGTGACACTGGGTAAGGACTAGAGGCACAGAGGATGTGTAGGCAGGGCCAGCACTCGGGGTCACCATCACTAGGTGCCATGGCAGCAGCTCCACTTGCAATCCCTGGAGTCCTCTGGATGTGCTGCTGCTCCAACTTGTCTGTTCCTTTGTCCTCTCTGACTGAGAGAACAGTGGCAGGTGTTGTAGGAGGAGGAACAGCCTCTACTTTCCTCATCATCTCCCTCTGGCTGGCTGCATGGCTTGGGTCCGGAGGAAGAGCAAGCAAGTGAGAAGGTAGGCACACTGAGAGTGTATTGCATAAGAGCCTCCCAAAACCTGGAGGGTGGGTGTGTCATTCAGCAAAGGTATGAGGGTAGAGGGCAGGTGGTAAGGCACAACATAATTGTGCAGAGTTTTGTGCCCACTGTGCTTAAAATAAAAATTTTATGTCAACATCAGTAAACATTTAATTATCCATATCCATATACATCTCATTAGATTAATCTCAACTCTTGTGCCACTTCTTCCTTGTGTACCTACTTCCTGCACCTTCCTGAATTGCTTGAACCCTTGCATGATTCCTGCATTTTCCTGGAGCCCCACTCCCATCTCCGTCACGGCTTGTAAGGCCCATTACTGGCAAGATTCACAATATTGTTTGCACTCTCCCAGCTTTCTGGTTTTCCTCTGCAGTTTCAAAAGCACTGCCTTTACATAGAGCTGTGAGCTTCTCAGAAATTGATTCTGCCTTTTCACTTTTGTAACGAGTACTGGAGTGGCACCCTGTGTTTCTAATTGCTATGGGGAAAGGCTTTGCATTTAGATCTAAATCTGATACACAGCTCTTGTAGCGAGAGAACCTTTGTGCATTTGCATGTGGTATATTGTTGCCAGAATCAAATGAACAATGTTGACTTTTGACAATGTTCTCTGATCATTGTTTTCATCCAATTAAGCATAAATATTTTGGTAGGCTCTGATTTCTGCCAACGTTTATTAGAGAAAAATGTATTTGCTCTTTCATTAATTGAAAACCAGTTTGCATACATGTTACCTAACTGTGATGTTGATTTGGAGCACAGTTTGAGTGACAGATGTGTCAGGGATTGACGTGCCTGGTGGTTGCTAAGGCATAAACCTTTGGGTTCTCTGGGCAGGAAGTTGTAGTGGACATCCTGCAGTGTGGATGGCTTGGCACTATAAAGTCAGGGCCCAGAGAAAACGTATATATTGGCAGGGAAAACCTCTGCCAGAGATCAAAAACTTGAGTGTGATATTGGCTTCTCCTGGGTAATAATCGTGGGGGGTTTCAACATTCATAGCAAAGCTCCCCCTTCCTTACCAGGCCAGCCCTACCAATAGGCACTTGGGCAACCACCTTAGGTGGCAGATGCTTGAGGGTAGGAATCCCCTGAGTCTTGGCCATTCCATTCTGTTGGAGATCAGACAGGTCTTCCTGGATCATCAGATAATCTGAGGTGAGGAAATTAGCAAAAGTTTGGTTGTCATGAACAAAATGGTACCTGATAGGGTTTAGACTTACTGGGGTTCCTAACTGCTGTGTGGGTAAAGAGCCAATTAAGACTGTTTGTACATTGATCCTGATTGTTTCCTGACTGTTCTGGGGAATTTTGCTGCTGGTCAATCTCTGGAATAAGAAATGATCCACGCAGCTGACATAGTCACTCCCAACCACCCTCTATTGTCACTGCAATAGGCCTTGACCTTAGAGCCAGAGGAGACTGAACTGGCCAAGTCCATAGCTGTAGTATCACTGACTGGCAATCTGTATCTGGTTCTTGATACTGAATCTGAAACTAGTTGTCAGGAGCCTGTGAAACCCAAGCCAGGACCCACATGGGTGCCTTTTCCTGAGCTCAATTTGTGTAAGGCATCAAGTAACTCCCACTCCACTAGTTTGGTCACTTTTCCTCTCCGTATGATATCAGTTGTATGGAGACTAATGGCAGAAGGGTGTTTATGAGGAAAGCTAATCTGTCTGAATGGAAGTACCTTATTACCTCATAGCTTGCTTGTCTATCATTCATCATTAATAAGTAAAGAACAAATAGCAGATGCCATGTTGTTTGTTATTGGTGACACCTCAGGAAGGAGAGAGGAGATAACAGATTTTTCATGGGCTGTTTGGCTCCAGTGAACAGTCTCTTTTGTAGAGTGTTTGCTGGTGATGTGGCCATATGACACATACCAGAGGAAACAAGAAGGGTATTTATGTAACACCTTGGCAAGGAACACTTGCTTTACATGATTAGAAAAGGTTGCAGTATCTTGAACACTTGAACCAAAAGGAGATAAGAAAGCAAAATTACAGTGACGATAATTAGGAAGACAAAAAGTGAGGATTTGGGTCTGGTTTGTTACAAGAGATGGAAAACAAACTGGAGACAGATCTTGAAAAGTCAGCTCCTTAGATGCAAATTCTGAAGGAAACAAAAAAAGATGGGGAACTGATTAATTAATGTATATGTCAAGAACCAAAACTCATCTGTAATGCAGGGTAGCATGGTGTATGTGGAAGGTTCAAATACATGCTTTATCACACTGTTAAATTAGAGAATTAATCATGTATTTAGCATGTAAATACATTATTTTAGCTGTAAAGAGAGATTGTTTGTACTGTTATAGAATCATGGAATTGTAGGGCTTTAATTGTAGGGCTTTAATTAATTAATTAATTAATTAAGGGCTTTAAGGGACACATGTGTGGCTGGCGCTGTGGTCTAAACCACTGAGCCTAGGGCTTGCCGATCGGAAGGTCGGCAGTTCGAATCCCCGTGACGGGGTGAGCTCCTGTTGCTCTGTCCCAGTTCCTGCCAACCTAGCATGTCAAAGTGCAAGTAGATAAATAGGTACCGCTCCGGCGGGAAGGTAAGCGGCGTTTCCATGTGCTACTCTGGTTTCGCCAGAAGGAGCTTAGTCATGCTGGCGACATGACCTGGAAGCTGTCTGCAGACAAACGCCGGCTCCCTCGGCCTATAGAGCGAGATGAGCGCCGCAACCCCAGAGTCATCCACGACTGGACCTAACAGTCAGGAGTACCTTTACCTTTACCTTTAAGGGACATGTAAAGGAATTATGGGTCATTTATTTTCACCCTTTGCATCACATCTTCCATGCCCAAAGCACAGTTGAACAAAGAATGGCATACAGTCTGCTGGCACAATCATGCCCCCCTCCCCTCTATTTGTTAATCAAATGAGATGCAGCACAGTTACAAAATACTAAGCAGCAGCAATGTGATGACCAGCCTTCTCTGCAACTGTGGTGTCAGGACTGGTCGTTGTCCTCTTCAGATCACCACACAAACGCTTCTTGTTCTTTTATAAAACTTTTTATTGCGTATTAACAAAACATTCTTATAAACGGTTCTTAACTATTATTCCTCAGAGTCACTTATTTCAGATACCTTCTGAGCTCTGCTTCTCCGTGACCAGCCACCCTCAAAATGGTGAAGGCGCCTTTCCCTTCGTTTTCCCGCTCTTTTTTCTAACCTCCTGGCTAGAGCTGGCCTGTATCTCCCCTCCTCCCAATCTGAGCTAGAACTTAACCCTTGCCTTTCCTGGGAACAGCCGGTCCCTCCCTGTTGTTCCTCTTGCTCCCTTCTATTAGATTCACTGCTCTCCTTCCCCCCTTGGGGAATGCTTTCTCCCTCTGATAAACTGGAAACTTCTAACTCTTCCCTGACATGTGGCTGCTTTCTTTGGGCTCCCAGACAGGCACTTCTATTATTAAATTTATTTATTTCTTGTGACGCACTTGGAATTCTCCCCAAGTAAACTTTTGTGGCCTGTTCTACAGTTTGGGAATGAGTGTTTTAGTTGCAGAAAGTGCTTTAACCTATCAGTATGCTAAATATAATGAGTGCTTCTTTTTTAATTTTATTTAAAGTTTTTGGGACAGAAAAAGAAGTAAAAACTAGGGGGGAACTTACAACCACAATCATTCAAAATAATTCAAATTACAAACACAGTCATTTTGCTTTTATATCACATTCTCAATAAATTTCCAAGTACCACCCTCTACTTCCCTCCCCCCCTCCCAACTTCTCCTCACCCATGTGAGATCTTACTGGCATTTGTATTATTGTTTCTTGTTGTGTTAGCAGTTATTTATACTTAATAGTCATATCCTTTATAATATCATCTTGTATCCTTGCGAGTCTTTCCTTTTATGTTTATGTTAAACTTAATTTCCATATCCATATTTTTCATATATATCTCTACACACTCCCACTCTCTCTTAATTTTTTGCTTGGGACAATTTATGGAGATGGCAAAATTAACGGCATCAATTAGGGGCTGCCCCGAGTACTTATTTTTTCAGCAACCTTAATACCTAAGCATCCCAAATCCCTTTACAGTGGATGCAGTAACTAGATGACTGTGATATTTGGCTGCTTCAAAAATGAAGGCTCTAACTGTGGTGAAATGCAACACTTGTTTAACAGTGCAGAACATTGCCTCTAAAATGAGAGAGAAAGTGGAAAAGCGTGATTCTATTTGAAGCTGAACTATTCAGGGAGGTGGAATTTGCACAAGATTCTTGAAGAGCCTAGAAGACCATTCTTAGGCTGTGTATTGAGTTGCTTGACAAATTATTTTGAAATTGCCTTGAAAATTTCCTACCTCCTTCATATCCACCATTGGGATTAAGAGAGGAAGAAGCTGCCAAAGTGGTAGAATATTCTGGCATGACTTTTTAATAGAAATGACAGCTTTTTATCACTCTGGGTAGACATTATGTGACAAGATAATTTATAGATGCTTTGTCATCATCCAGTTGGAATAAGCACAGTAAATAACAGAAGAACTTACTGTGTCCCCTCCAAATTATTTGCTTAAGCTGATTGTTTTGTTAGAAGAGTTTTTTTTAATTGTTGTGTGGTTAACCAGCCTCCTAAATTACAAAGGAATATGGCATTGAGGGCCCCTTCCAAAGAGCTCTGTGCTGTGTTTTGAAGCCCTGAATATCAGCTAATCGTTATGTGGAACTGAAAACTGGTCTTGTGAGAGCTCACTTGGCCACTGAATCCTGCATTTCGATTTATCTTTTAAAAGTTAAACCTCCATTGCACGTTATATACGGATACCTGCCTGCAGTAAGAATAAGCAAATGTCCCTTTTTTGTTACAAAGGAAAAGAGGAAGCTGCTTTATATCACTTAGCTTAGTATGGTCTGGGAACAACTCTCTGGGATCAGACATCTACTTGGGGATGCTGGGGTTGAACCGGGAACCTTCTGCATTCAGTGCTCAAGTTCTGCTACTGAGTTATGGCTCTTCCTTTATTGCTCAAGTTCACTTTGCCCTGCCTTTTACTCCTCCAGAATCCAGTTTAAATAGAAGGAAAAAGAATTCAAATTAAATTGTTTAATTTCATAATTGGAACACATGCAGTTTGGTGGAGCTTTCATTTCCTTCAGATCCTTTGGATTCAATCCCATCTTTGTAACCAATGTACATGTTCTCTTTGGCAAAACAAAAAAGGAAACTTGGGATGATTTATGGTTGCCTTATATCTTTTGGTAATGCAAAGGGGGACAGTGATGACATTAAGGAACCAAATTATCTGACACACTGTGCATTAACAGCGCCCCTGCACAATATTCTGTAGTAGTAGTAGTAGTAGTAGTAGTAGTGATGATGATGATGATAGGAACAGTAAATAATTGTTGCTGCGCTGGTTCCATGTTGGAATTCTAATTTGGATTTCCAAAAGCTGGGGAGAAATTGAGACGAGGAATTTTTTTATAAGTGTTCATAGCTGGTATAGAGTTTAAATATCAGCATGGGAAGAATGAGCTGTCCTCAGTGAACAGGGCTACCTTCATTTTGTTCATTTTAAAATCTTTTTGTTTAGAAAGAACATGACCAGTGTCAAAGAGCCTTAGAGTGATTTATTTAATTGAAGCAACTTGGATGAGATGGCTCACTCCATCCAAATTGGTACACCATGTTGAACACAAACAACTAAAACTTTATTTGACTTGATGCGTGCAATGCTTGTGGAAAACTACAGAACTGTTCTGTAGAAGGCTTTGTCCCTTTTCTTTTAGTAGTTGTTGGTATTTTATAAATTAAATTTTCAAAAATAAAAAAATAGGGTAAGATAATATAAAAAATGAACATATACTACTTCTCTTCTGTTCCATTTCTACCAAAATGTATTAAATGTGCATGTACACAATCACCCAGAAATGTCTCACACAGGTCATAGTAGCCCACACAAAAAATAGAATTGTATCTGTACCCCTGTATTTCAGACACATAGCTTCATTCCTGTTCAGCAATATGATGATCCCTGTTTTAAAAATATATAACTGCACAGTTCATGAGAGCAATGGGGAAATGAAAGAATAATAGCTCCCTTCCTGGTGTTTTAATTAACACCAGGCAATCATTGTTGGTGTGAAATGTGTCATATGTATAAATACTCTGGCCTTGACTCTGATCCCAGTTACAGCTAAGGAATGTCTCTCTTGTTAAGTATGAGCTTCACCAAGATTCTGTGATGAGTCTCTGGGCACAGTTAATTTGCAACAAATCATGTGCAACATAGGAACCACTTCACTGGATATGAACCTTGGAGCTTGACTTCCTTCCCAACAGTAATAGAGGGAACGCATTTGTGCTCATGAAGAACTAGAGAAACTATTGCTCACAATAGGGTTCAGTACATTGCAAACTCAGGGAAGAATTCTTCTTTCAATCTGTCACATCCCCTTTCAGAAAGAAGTACAATAGAGCTCAGTAGAGCACTTGGTTTCCCTGTACTGCGTCTCAGATGCAGACCCTTATGCTTCCAGCAAAGTTATAAAACAATGCTAAAATTAGCTGGTGCAAAACATGCTTGAAAGACTGGTTCAATTAAAAAAATGTGCAAAGACCACTGAATTTCTTTGCAGGCAATCATGGGAATATTGGCAACATATTACACTATGAACATGGTGTTTATGCAAGCATAAGTGTTTGGAAAGGTGCATTTCGTTTCACGCCCGTGTAATTTAGGCTCTATTTAAGTCCTAGCTAGGTGTCCTACACACACCCAGCCAAGAAGGCAAATAGTTAATTCTTTGCTGAAAAAAGCACACACTTGCAGCAGCTCCTAAGGTGTGTCGGATACACACACACACATGCTTCTAGTGTCTGCGTCAGAGCTTTCAAAACTGTGTGTCACAACACTTTAGTGTTTCAGCTGCAGTGTTTAGGCATCTTGCTCGATTGCTCCCTGCGCTCCTCCTGGGGCTGGAAAGGGGTTAGCTTAACCTTCCGGTTTGATAATGAAACTGAACTACTGTGTCGCAAAATGATGTATGTCTAAAAAGGGTGACACCAACATGAAAAGTTTGGAAAGCTCTGGTCTACGTAGCTGGCCTTAACTCTTCCAGCTTCGTGCCCAGCAGAGCACTTGAAGCAACAGTGGGACCATCCCCTCCCTCCAAACTCTTGATTGATGGAGTGCATGCACACAATTTGAATCACTAGCCCCCTCTCCTGGGTCAGCTTCCACCCCCTTTGCCTCCATCTGTCACATACTTGTCAGAGCCATGCCAGTCCCTGACACTAGTTAAGACAAATATCAAGTGCTTTTTCTGGGGGTATGCAGGGGTACGCATACCCCTAAACATTTTGTGAATCTTTATACCTTTGTCCATTTACTGTATTTATTTTTCCCAATTTGAACTATAAGATGGCTATTTTCTTGAGTCAAAATGAGAGTACCCCTAAACATTTTTTTAAGAAAAAAAGCACTGCAAATATCTACTGTATATCTTACTTGCACTCCTCTCTAGGCTTATCACTTAACTGGCCAGACCCTAAAAGATGCATTGTATTAAAAAGAGCTGCAGGTGGAAGAAGGAATTTATTTTCAAGTTAAGTCTCTTTGGCAGGCTTCTGCTGCTGCTGCTGCTGAATGTGTTGATTTGAAGCAGGCAGCCATGGGAGCAGCCAATGCCTGGAAGGAGAATGTGGGTGTATTAAGAGAAGCTGTTTTGGAGACTATAAATCCTAAACCCTGTAGGGTTAGAATTATAACAGAATTGCAGTGTATGAGTAAGTGAATTGCTCTCTGGCGTTCACTGTTTGCAGACTAGACATGAACAACTTTTTCAATCGGGCGCCTTTTTGCATTTTGGATTCTTATGCTCTCTCTTCTGTAGCCAGGCAGAGATGTATGCAGGCCCCCCTTTTCTCATGCTGATTAGCCAAGGCTCAGCAGTTGTGATCCTAATCATTGCTTTACAGCATATGTGCCTAGCTCACAATATTGTGTCCCCCAAAGAAACTCAAGTTGCCATAAAATGTGCCAGTGTCAACACATTGCATTGTTGTAGGGCTTAAAGTTGCCTTCTGGTTGCCTTTTTCCTGCTCCCCTTCCATACTTCATGTTTCCTGCTCCCCATCCATACTTCATGTTTTTAATTTGATCTAATGAAAAAGACAACTTTTCAATTACCCATGTAAATAAGTGTTTTGGGACAGCTCGTCTCTACTGTGCCTTCCTATCCATATACTTCTCCGCTGCTTCACATTCACAAGGCTACCTTTCCATCCCCTGTTTTGGAAAATGCAATGAGATGCTTAGACATGTGTCCTATGGTAGAGTCTATGAGAAGGGTTGTCAGAGAGCAGCTCTCTATTTGAAGGAGACTTCTATTGGAAGGGCTGCTCAGCCAGTGCAAAGATA